GAGAAAGACCAGGAGGAGAAAAGGAGCAATCTTTCTTTTTACGTCTGTGACACATTGGGAGTCTTTTGTAGATGTTGAGGCCTAAAAATGGGACCTTTTTAGGCCTGAGGACCTTTGGGAGCTTCAGAAAACGCAGTCAAACACAATTTTTTTGCCTCCATGTGCATCATAGAGGTGAAAAAAAGAGGAAGTCAAACACCAGGAAGCCAGCTATGTCATGTGTGTGATAAAAAAATGGAAATAAAACACAAAGACACAACCAAAAAACAGCCTTATGCATCTCCTACTATAATTGTTGCATTTATACTGTCTTATACATAATGTTCAAACATTTTAAGTCTATAATTTGTTATTAATTTGTTATTCTTCTCAAGGGTACTTGGTCAAATAGGAATTTATGTAAGTTGTATTTGTTTTATATTGTATTGTTTAGTATAGAGTGGATTTGCTTTTGTTTTGAAGTTTAGAGAGAGCACTTTTATTTTGAAGTCAAGAGGAGTTTTGTTTGAGTTCTCGCGCAAAGCAAAGTTAAGGATCTTTGCAGAAGTTAAGGCTAATACGTTAATGGAGTATCTTGAAAATTTGGATAATTCCCTTTTTCGAGTGGATTTGGAGATCCCAAATTGACTTCAAATAAACCAGTAAAAGAAAACCCACTTGAGTCTGCTTTTGCTTAAAGGGAATTATACCCACAAATGTATCAGAGCCCGATTTCTTATTGAGAAGTTTTGAGAGGCTTTTCCAAAATTGAACTATGGACCATGTTGTGATCCAGATGTGGGGCAGATGTACAGCTTCACAACCTGTTCAGGTGACTAAGTACCTAACAAGGGTCTCGATTGAGCATGTTAAGACTTTTAAGAAGATTTGTTCTGCTCATTTATGAGATAGATTGAAAACTGACACAACCTGAAGGCAGGTGTTTCCTCTGGTGGCCTGAAAATAGGTCAAAAACTAAACCAAACAGAGCCCGTGAGCGAACAAATCACCATCAATCACGAGCAAAATCCAGATTTAAGTCCAAGCTAAGCTGTATCACTGAGCCCTCCCATATAAATGCTGCTGTGAATAATACATTGATTCTCTCTATTTCCAGGCAAACTCAATCTAACATCAGATAAATGCCAAAGTCTTATCCTCTTTGTGCCTCTCTCGTGAATGAGCTTTTAAAAAGCAGCTTAAAGAATCAGATGGAAATCAGAAAGGTTTTTCCGGAACTGGCTTTTAAATGAATGAACGTGGCCAGAAGGTGGTTCTGATCCTGTAGAAGACCAGAAGAAAAACGAGCAATCACTGTGGTGTCAATCTAAAAGACGAAAGTGTGGAAAGACACTTAGAAATGTGTGGAAATATTCCACTGGAAAATCTGGGTTTACTATTACTATTCGTTTTCTAATTTCTCACACGTAAAAAGGGTAAAAACCTACTAAAACTGCCTCAGAAAATGATGTTTTGCAGTGGTGGAAGTTTCTTTATTCCAATCTAACTGTTTCCATTCACCATTTTCTTCTCAAATTTAACCGATTGTGATCCTTTTGGAGGAAAAGAAAGCATAACGTCCCCTTTTTTTGATCTGGCAGATTTTTGTTCTTATGTTTGACCCTAAAAAAGCACAAACCACTTGAAATCCCAGGATCCCCCATCCATAAAATGATCAAACTGTGAATGATATTTAAAAATCAACATTAAAAGCAAAATTAGGGTTTAAAAAAATTGGGTTTATCAGATGTCAAACTTTCAAGTCTTCCGCAATAAAAAGCCTCAAAAATGTCTTTTTGTCCTTTTAAATTAAACAGAAATCAGAGCTGGGTAAATTTCCCATCAGCCACTTGGATTGGCTAACACAGTGATCATATCATATAAACATAGAGATTCAATCCCTCCTAAATTTGTCTCATGGAGCTCATATCTTTTTTTAATTTTTCAAAGCTTGAAAGCAAGATGTTTTAGGATTTGATAAAATCCTAAAACACCCCCTCTTCTTCTAACATCAGCCTGCAAACCTCAGGTTTCCTAACCCATAAAGAACTCTTCAGTAGTCCTTGTTCCTCTTTACCTCCAGCTGGATAAACATCTGGACTCCTCTCAGATGAACATCTGGCCGTTTTTGCCCCCCCGACCTGCCGGTTATGTAACCAGAGATCCTGTGTCCTGGTGGTACCTGCACTATTCCAGCCTTTTGTCATCCTCCTTTTTTCAAAACTGCTTTGCTTTCAGCACTTGATGCTTTTCTATGGTGCAATTTTAGAAAAAATAACAACTGAAATGATTTGAAAATCGCTCATTTTAAGTGAATGACATCACGTTTCTTCACAACTGGAAGCTGCGTTTGTATGTGTTTCAGGAAAAATATCCAGTTTAGGAAATCAGGTTATTTCTGTCCACAAATTGAATGTGAGAGTTATATTACAGCCACAAATCTCTTTGATTCTGTCTCTGGCTGTATAATCCAAAATGATAAAACATGATAACATATTATCATCCTGGTTTATTTGCTTCCTTTTTATTTAGTTTATATTTTATTAACAAAAGCAAACTTTCTACCTTGTTAAATCCACCAAATAAACTCCACTTGAGGCGAGTCGGTGACCTATCTCAATGATTTTGAGTAGAGGACGGAAATAATCAGCTTAATTGAGACTTCTCTTCCTTTAAAAGCTCCAGCTTTGATCACAGATCTCGTCAACGATCTGAATACTGAGCGAACTGGGCCCATTCTCTTAAATTTTAGTCGTCTTTTTGTAGTTGTTTAATTGTAGTTGTTTTTTTTCTGCTGGACTGAAAGCAAAAGGCAGCCGAGGGAACAAAGGCCAAGACATGGTAGTTTCTTTTTGGACCTTCCTGTGATGGAAAAGTCCTCTTTTGATCAGTCGTCAAACACTTATTTGCTTTTTCCCCCTTAAACCTTTTTCCACATCTCAAGAAAACAAGTGAAAACCCTCTGAGTTCAGGTCGAGGTTCATCTAAATGTGCGTCATCCGGTTGTGTGTGTGTGTGTGTGTGTGTGTGTGTGTGCGATTAGAGACCGAAAATATATATATATATTTTTCCTCTCTTCCTGTTATAGGGATCTCTCTTCTTTTTGGCGCAGGTTATCCATCCATCCATTATCAATACTGCTTATTCCCTGATGGGGTCACGGGGGGAACTGGAGTCTATCCCAGTGGTCAACGGGCGAGAGGCAGGGTCACCCTGGACAGTCCGCCAGAGACAACACACAGAGACACGCAAGGACCAACAACCACACACACTCACACTAAGGGCAGTTTGGAGTCCAACCAACCTAACATGCAGGTTTTTGGACGGTGGGAGGAAGCCGGAGAACCCAGAGAGAACCCACAGACACAGGAGAACATGCAGACTCCACCCAGAAAGGTCCTGGTTCCCCCGGGATTCGAACTCAGAACCTTCTTGCTGGGAGGCGACAGTGCTAACCACCACACCACCATGCCGCCTGGCGCAGGTTATTGTAACCTTTTCTCTATTCTGTCTTACTTTTCTGATTCAATCTTTTGTTCCTTTTTTTTTTTTTCTCTTTTCCCACTAAAACCTCTCAAAAAGGTCGGCCCCCAGAAAGCATGGCCTGGTACTGTGTCCTACTATATACTAAATACAAGAATAGGTGTGTGTGTGTGTGTGTGTGTGTGTATGTGTGTGATTAGAGACCGAGAATAACAATCACATGGCGGCCCAGAATCTGCACTTTGACTTGTTTGTCTATCTCCATCCACCATTATCACACCTCAGGAGTTATGCAAGGTTGTCTAGTTTGTCCGGAGGTTTTATGAATTCACCTCTGATAAGAAGCCCAAAGTCCGAAGTAAAACCGAGCGTTTTTTGAAGAGTTAGCCACATACAACTATCTCCCCGCACGCCTTCCCGCCCTTGACCCTAATCTGGAGCCTCTCTTTAACCCCGTCGACACATGCCCTCTTCATTCCCCGTGCTTTATTAGTGGTGACGTTTCCTCTCTGGAGCAGACAGAAGGCCCTGGCCTGCAGATCCGTGAGATAAAGAGGGATTTCGCATGCATGCACACACACGCCGTTAACCCTATAATGCCAAATGTATTATATTTGATACATAGATATTGGATCTGAGACTTTTTGCGTCATTCAGTGGTAAAAGCTTTGCTCAAACCCCTGTTGTACACATTCAGATATACCTGATAACAGCCAGTATTTTTGACTTATTGCACGCTAATTTGATCAAAATAATTTCTGTTTTTTTTTCTTCATATGTTGTTGAGGGGCCAAAGAAAGACTTCAGACTAAAAAAATTCCAATATTTTCCTATTTTTCTTGGATCAGGCTTTAAAGGGTTAATGGACACATCCAACAAAACGTTTTAGCTAAGGAAGAGTTTTTAGCCATTTTCTACTCATTGATTTTAACCCCACACTACCACTCGCATCATATCTGATACACACAGTCCCCAAAATATTTAGCAGCTTTTGCATCATTTAATTGTAAAAGCTTGAATCATTTAAATTATTTTCTACTTAATGCACGGTAATAAATGATGACTATTCAGAAAAGGTTTATTTTTTTCACATTAAGGTAAAGGTCCAAATGAAGACTTCAGACCAAA